TTCGTGACTGTGATAATGTTGTGAACATTGGTAATCTTCTGTAGATAAAAATATAATTCATGAAGGATCAAGTTATCCTCTTAATTATCCTAAATGCACACCATTGCACCTTCTTTAATTTCAGTGTAGCTTCCACTGATGTCTAGTGGTGTGAAATCAATCTGAGGTCTCATTTGGTATGAGTATGCAGAAGGTCAGAGCATCAGATATTTTAAGTCAGTGTATTTGTTTCTGTTTTCATTATCCAGATATGTGGTTCCCAGTGCTTGCTGTTTGGCATGAAAATGCTTTCTGTTGGGTTTCTTCATATATTTGGTCGGAATATTCACGTATATAAAAAGAATCAGCAACGTGGTTCTGGGATCGTATAGGTATAGATCCATGTAGCTAATTAATTTTAATTGATCTTCTAAAATCTCTCATTCCAATGCATTATAACCATCCTTTCTATGTTCTTGTGCAATATTTTGGTTTTGAGAGATTTTTCTACAGTGAAAAGAGTTAACAGCAGGTAATGCCATTCATCTTGGAAGGAGTTTGAAATTTTCAGTGTTAGTGATGAATGAGGGTATCTGACCCACATCTGTTTTACATTAGAATGGAACATTGCCCTGACATCGTTAGGAGCATTTGTCAAGATTCCCTGGACAGAGCTTCTGTAAATTACATGCTGCAAATGTGTCAGGGTCAGATAAGAGGATATCATTAACTCCACTAAAGTTTGCTCATGATTCTGTCAGTTCAACTTAATACGTTAACTGCCAACAATTTTCCTTTCATTAAATCTTTCATTCGCAGGAGGGGAAAAAAATGTATCACTGTACCCAAAAAATACTGCACATGTTCTTTTCTCACAAATCATATTAATTGCAGACATGGTCACAAAGCATATTAAATGCAGGCATGCGTAAATGAATTAAAACATATGAGAATTTTATTGTGCCTATGGTAGGTCCTACATCCTAAAATACCAACCATGTTAACAGTCATAATGTTTCATTTAGATATAAGAAGCTTTCTCTCAGTTTAATGGCCTTTATTTTGTTGATAATAGAAGTATTTTCTAATAGGTGATAATGGACCAGATGTTGTGTGCGTGGTCCGTAAGGCTTTCATAATTCAGTTTCTCTTTCTGGATCATACCCTCAGCTAGTGATGCTGTGTCTGAACCCACCAGCAAGGAATTTGTCCTAATGAATATTTTAGATTGGTTTGGGATGTGTTCTCTGAAAAGTTTTCTGTAGAGTTTTGTTACTGCACTTCACTGTGTTCTCTTTGCTTATTCCTAATTGAACCTTTGTTTTTAATAGAACTATTTTATCGATTACATACGACGATTATTGTATGAGCTCAAAGGCTATGTGTCAATGTTTCTTCATGTGTTTTGTAAAAAATGAGGAGATGTAGCCAAAAACCTTACAGCCTGTTGTTTTTTGGGGTTGGGTGGGTTTTGGGTTGTTTTGGTTTTTTTTTTTTTTCATTTATAGGAGTTCTTTTCTAAAATAAACTGAATAGTTACAGCAGCCTTTAGTTCTAAGTGTTAGATCAGCCCTTGATTTTTCTTTCAATTTCTTTGGGATCCAGATCAATGAGGCTGACAATTACTATTTTGGCTTTCCCAAAGTAACTCAGAGGGAAGTACATATTTTCCAGTAATTTGGATGGTATATGGTTTGAATAAATGTATTTTCTTCCTTAATTATTGTAAGACAATCAGATCTGTTTACTTAGAACTATACTGTTTCATACCAGCAGCAGATCTGAGTTGCAAAATCCAGATCTTGGTGTGTCACTTGTACAACACTGAGCTGAGGGTGTTGAGCATCATGCAGACTGTGGCCCATTAATGGCTTTCTAATTGATTAGGTGAAAGTCAGCCATGCCCTTCCTGTAACTCCTTGTATGGGCGATAAGGTCATGGCACATACCTTATGAAAGACTTCTGCCCTGAGGCTACTTCCCTTATAGCTTTCAAAACAGACACGACCAAAAATCTAATTATTTAGTTACTAATCAACAGCAGGATGATTCTGAAGGCCTCTGAAGAAGGCATTTCTGAGAAGGTGGTTACTGTTTGGATTTAGATTTTCTCCACCTCAGAGACAGAGAGCTGTGTCAGCTCTGCTCCAAAGTGTCTGCTAGGTGCATATGCACTTAAGCAAAAGATGACTAAAGACTTGTGGTGTTTGCTAATTAATTTAAAATCTCGTCAAATGCTAAATTTAATTTGTCAGAGAAGATAAATGTCTATCCAAATATAGATGCTACTCAAGTTTGAGTGGCTTTTGAGACCAGATCTGGATCCAGGTTTAAATTTTGAGGCTAATCTCTAACTCTAAAATAACTTGCAATCCCAAAGTTTTTGAGCTCATTGATTTTGCTGGCAAAGTCCAAATAGTGTTGTCTTGGGTAGTATTCTGTGGAAAATAGTAAACAGAAAAAAGCTTAGTTAAAGGATGTAGTTGGTAAAATAGCTATTTACCCAACAAGGCAATCAGTCCCAAAAGTCCTGGTAGAGATGCATGTGACATGAGAGTGCTCACACAGAGGAGTGCCGCTGGGAGTCCAGCAGGGATGTGAGGGCAACAGGAGCCCAGCCCATTCTCCCTGGTCTTGAACTTGGAGCAGAGTGTGGCAAAGCCCGGTATCACGTAGGTGCTAGGCAGGAATGGAAAGGGCTGTGCACTTATTTCAGATTTCTGATTAAACCATGTGTGTTTTAAACTGTAGTCAAAACCATGATACTCTTGCCAACATAAATATTTTCCAGAGTAGTAATTTTCAATGTAAATGTTTAAGTTAAGCTATGTTTTTTTGTGGATCTTTCTCTTAACTCCATTAGTGTTTATTTTAAAGGACAAGGTTTAATACGACCTAAATGAACATAGGTTCTAATATTGTATCCTGCTGATGCAATGTCAGATTATTAAGCATGCTAGATTTTCAGGACCATATAATTTTCAAAAGGTACAAGAAAATTATTTGTAATTCCTAAAATAGAAAAACCTATTAAAATAATCTTCAGAAATTTTAATAGTTTTCAGGAACCAATTTTTAGAAGGAAAAGTTGAAAGCCCAGTTATTTCAGCTTTTTAGGGGTTTTGGGGACAAAATGCTGTTGAGGTTGCTGTGCAAATAACATGATTTTTCAATCTGTGATTATTCCAGAGATTTTTAATATTGTTTTTTATTAACATCAAATTGTTTTAATAGGTTTTGTGCATTGAAAAGATTATTTGAATTGGGTAGAAAATATCTTACGGTCTAAATCCAAATTCTTCTTTTGTTTTTTTAACTTTTAAGTTAGACGATTTCGTTATCTAAATGAAGTCTTTGGATATATTTTGAAACTTCTTTTTGCATGAATGCTTCTGTTTGTGAAACATTCAGCAAATACCATCAGTTAGACTCATGTTTTTCTGCTTAGTGAAACAGAAGTGAGCATTCTAGTGCTCTATGTGTGTGTGTGTGTTTGTGTGATGTCTTGGGTGCATCTGATACAGAGTTGTGTTCTCGATGACGGTATCTGGGTGTCTCTTTTTGAAGTACTCTTCTTGTGCCTCTTGCTCTTTTCCTTATCAGACATGTAAGGGTTTTCCTTTCTACTTAAATCATGGATCTTGCTTCATGTATTTATTAAAAAACAAACAAAACTCAGAGGTTGGACCACAAGCTCCCTACAATAATCCCTTTTCTTTTGCAATGGAAAATAAATACAATTCAAGAAGAAGCATCAGAGTTTTAGGAACCAGATGCATTCTTAAGAGCATTAATTTATTCTTTACAAAATACACTCCAATTTTAATAACTTATTTTTAGTTTATGGTAAGAAGTGCAGTAAAGAAAATTATTATCAAATAGCGCATCTTGGGTATTTATAATGCCTTTTTGAAGGAAAAACAACCTGTAAATTATCAGAATATGCTGGTTTGGCAGAAGTTGTATGTCATTCATCCATTATAAGCTGCAGACTGTTTCTCAGGCTTTGAAGTGCAACTTACTCCAGCAGAAATAAGCAATTCTCTGTCATATTTATTTTCAAATTGTGCTATAGAGATGTGCTGGGAAAGGAAATGTACACCAACCTGTAGTGCAAATTATTTTTGTACTACAAATGCAGTAGCTTCCTTCACTCCTGCTTGAAAGGACAGGTGCTTCTGAATTTTTTTTTCCTCTTCTACTGGAACTTATGGCCATGAGTGTTGAGCTTTTATGGCAACAACCGGGTATTCTCCAGTAATCTATTTTCAATTAATTTCAACTGCTGATTTCATAATTGTTCATGTACAAGCAGCTTATTAAGGGTGTCACAGCTGACTTTGAAGCTGATCTGGAATGCCTGACCATTTCTGTCCTCTAACTCTCAGGGGTTGAGCCTGAGAGCTGGTGCTGCAACCAGCGCTTCACTCTTTCACATTCATTTCTTCACAGGCCAGCACACAGGGCATGCAGCAGCAGGAGTTACGGCTGCTCTGCCCCTTGCCCGCGTATTCATTCATGTTCTGGGTGCTGGGATTCTTTGTTACTTCCATCAGTAGTGTTGCTGTGATTCACTCCAAGTTAATTCCATTTTAATAACTGCTCATCTTGAGAGAAAAAAAATAATTGTTTGAGCTTTTTGACAGCTTTCCTGTGTTTGTAGATCCTGCAGGACAATGTAGCTAAAAAGTCACACTTGCTTTTTATTCTCTTATAATTGAATCCTCAAGGAATAAACACCTGCAGTGATCCCAGCTGAGGCATGGGATCAGGCACTCTAAAAATCATAATTTTTTTAAATTATTTTTCTTTATTTGCCCTTGGCATCACTTTTTATTGGTTGCTAGCTATCATTTTTTACTTTGGTGGCTGATCCAACCAAATTAGTTATTCAAATTATAGTTCAAATACCAAGTCTGTCTATTTTAGGAAATCAGATGATAGACTTGAGAACTCCTCTGGGTCTGTAAGCAATAGAGTTCTTCACATATCTTAACTCTTTCTGTTATTCTGCCTTTTAGGTAATGGGACTCCTGACTAACCATGGTGGTGTGCCTCACCAGCCCCAAACTGATTATGCCCTGTCCCCTTTAACTGGGGGCCTGGAGCCCACCACCACTGTCTCAGCCAGCTGCAGCCAGCGGCTGGATCACATGAAGAGCTTAGACAGCCTGCCCACCTCCCAGTCCTACTGCCCACCGACCTACAGCACCACGGGCTACAGCATGGACCCTGTCACAGGCTACCAGTATGGGCAGTACGGACAAAGTGAGTATCGGGACATTTGCGTTGTGAAGTGCAATACTGTACCCATTTATCAACGGTCTCTGTACTTTCTGTCTGTAACAAAGAAAATCATGAGCAGAGATCCTAATGGCTGACTACTGCTTCTCTCCAAAGCTGAGTGGAGTGCACTGGTGAGATAGCTGATTGTTCGAGCAAGATTTCTGCTGCATAATTATTTTCTTAAGTGATGTCAACAACATCTTGATGTTATTAATTGTTGAGACATGAAACCTGATTGCCATTAGGTAAAACATAAGGGTTGTCCAAAATGAAATAACCACTGGCATTCCACTATTAGAAACACATGTTCTTAATGAGGTCAGCTCAAGAATCATTACAGTATATAATCCCAGATACATAGAGTTTTGTCAAACTTGTCCTAGGAATAAAAATATTAGTCCCTTTCCTTTGATATATCAGTATTAAATATGACAATGTCAACCTGTAGTTGGCATGGCCCCATGCTGTGAGGTTGTCACAGCATGACTTAAAAAGCTTCTTTTGCTTTTTTGCAGGTGCCTTTCATTATCTGAAGCCAGATATTGCATAAATGAACTGTCCACTTCAAGTTAAAGCTGGTCTTGTTTTCCGGTCTCACTCCAAAGCTTGGATATGAGGGATCTTCTCAACACACTGCAGTCTAAACTGGGGCAGTCCCATTGAGAGAAGCAGGCTTGTTATGTTCTTTCCAGTCATAGCTTTTAGCAGACTTTTGAAGGCTGGACAAAGCTATACAGAAGACAAAGGCCAAAAGCAATAATGAATAAATAAATGCGACATGGTTCATTACGAGTGGGTATACAAAACAGAGCAGTATTTAATATCACTGCCTGGCAAAACATTCCATTTTTTGTTGGTAAAATTAATGTGCATTGATTGGGACAAATGGAACATTCTGAAACTTAGAGCAGCTGAGCTCTGTGTACTCTGACTCATCTGACATCCAGTGCTGACTTTAGTCTAACTTTAAAACTGCTCAGTTTCTGAAGCAAGGGCAGGAGAACCTCCTTCATTTTACACACTGGAAACTGTCATCAAGAGGAAATGTCACTGTCCATAGGAAGTGCATAGGATAAGTGCAAAAGACTTCCAGAGCAACTTACTGGTTACTTTACCATGCTTTTGTAATCACATTGCCAATAAATGTCACTTACAAGTTTTGCTTTATCAAGGGATGAGATCTTGTGTAAACATGAAAAACAGATTTTACCTTTTTGTATATGGAGTTTTCCTGGTCCGTTGTAACTTTTTGAACAAATGCGGGAGAAAAAAAAAATCAAGAACAACGCGACTGATTTTTCACAACTGCCTAGCAATGTGCAATACTGTGTACCTCACACAAACTTTGGGATCATCCAAAGTCATATAGATAGAATCAGAACTATATTTTTGCAGGTACTTTTATTTTTGCAGTGCATAATTCCTGTTGATAAAGTACAGAAATGTTGCAGTCTGCTGGACAACTAAAATCCAGCTTGTTAATCATGATTTAAAGGTAATTTTCAGGCAACAGTACGAAGAAATGATTACGTTTACATTTTTTTTTAGTGATATACAGGACATATACAGAGATGGACCTGTATTTGAGACATTTGTTTAAATTATACAGCGATATCCAATATAGAAGATATAATTATAGGAACCAAGGTTTACAAGAAGTTTGCATTGTGACATTTTAGAATGTCAATAAATTTGTGTTTTGTGATGTTGAGAGGAAGAGGAAGATGGAAGGCGGTGTTATTTATTTCTCTCTATTCTTGGAACAAGGAGGGAGGCAGAACACAAATACATTCCTTTTAGTGTTAAGGACTATGAAGTAGTGAGTTAGACTAGGTTCAGTACAGAGGTTAGTTCACACATTGGTCTTAAGGGTGATGGAAAAATGAAATATTATCTTTGTGTTGCAGCCTCTACAACAACATGTGTTGTAAAAGAAAAAAAATACAAAGAAAAAAACAAAAGAACAAATGTCTTTCATGTAAAAAGTTCAGTAAATATTTACTATTTATAATGAATAAACATTATGAAGACTTGCAAAGCACTGATGATTTTGTCCTAAAATGTAGTATTGTGCTAAATACATTGATACATTTTAATCTGAATATCATGAAGAAATAAACCATGTTATCTTCAACGCAAACTGTATTTGTTATGTGAGCATATTCTGCACACATCCCAGGGCTGCAGGAGCCTCAGGCAGCTTCTGTGCCCCGGTGCTGCTAATGTGCCACCCAGAGCTCTGTGTTTGTTAATGAACTATGCATTTTTCAAGTGCTATTGCTACCAGTAGTATGTCTTCGTCTTCCCAGCGAGAGAAAAGTGTTGTGCCTTTGCTGTGCATTAAAAAAAAAAAAAAGGCTTAAACCCATCAACAAGACTGGGATGGCTTCATACAGTGCAGGAACTTTGTAATCACTTACGGAAGGTATCTGTCCTGAATTACTTTTTTCTTAGAAGCCTCAAGAATTTTTTAATAGGCTTACACACAAGCTGACTGAAACATGGGGAAGACCCTCCAGAACAAATGGAGTAAGTTTTAGTGGCACATCAGTGTGTGAGGAAATTTTACTTCACACTAGGCTTGGTGGACATTTAATTTCATCATCATTTTGTGTGGGATATAGCCACCTTGAATTTCCTTTCAGCTTTTATTTGTGTGCTTTTTATTTTTGTTTTATTTTCATTTTCTTCTTTTAATTCTAGTCTTGTTCTGTTGGAAAAGGAAGGAATAAACTTTTTGAAAAGAGGATCTTAAAAAGATGCTGAAAGGGGGAAATGAGGTTTCTTTTTTTCCTTCTAGTTTATGTTTCTCTGATATGCTTTTAATTTCTGTGAAGATTAAAACTTAAATGTCCCGTATTAATACATATTCCCTCTTCTAAACCATTAATTATTCTGAATTTTTTATCAATGTTGTTTCCCTTCCCTGACGACTGGGCCCTTTGAATTTGTCTGTGTCCTGGGCTTGCTGCGAAGGCCAAATAAATCTCTCTTTCCCCACTTGCAATCCCTTTGCTGTAAAGTACAGCATAAAAGCCTGCTTGCTTGCACAGTTTGGAGCTAGATGATGTCTGTAGGAGTGCTCCTTCCCAGGAACAGTGTATTTTTTTTTTCAGGATGGTTACAAATTTCCACCTTCACCTTCTGTCCTTTTCTATTCCAGCAGCTGTGGGGGGTTGAGACAGAGCTGTGATTTCTTCCCCCACACCTGCCATGCTGCCAAGGTGCTTTCCAGACCTGAAGTTATGACGGGGGCCTTTTGGCTGTTCTAGTCTCTTTTTAAGTGTTCTCCAAGCACTTCCTTGTGAGAGACTAATGCAGAACAGGAGAGCCTGGAAACAAGACAGATAAGGAGAAAATCATCTAGTCCTCTTACAGGCAAGCCATGCAAATGGGGAACCAGGATGAACTCTTGCCAGAGGAAGCGAAGAGCCAGGGGCAAAGGGACTAAGCAGGTTCCTGATTTATGATGCGCCATAGGAATCTTTGACAGAGCTATTAAGGATTACTTGGGGTACTGCTGATCCCTTCTTGTTATCACTGTCAAGGCTGAAGAGGTTCTTGGGAGCCACATGTGTTTCTGGAATATGAAGCCTGAACACTCAAAAGTCAAGGGGCACAAGCCTGCCATGGATATTGCATTTGACAGAAATGCCATGGAATAGCTCAGAGGAATGTGCTTGTAGCAATGGAGTACAAAACCTCCTTACTGATGAGTGCAGAAAGCATGGAGCTCAGGGTCTTGCCTCTTTTTTTTTTTTTTTTTTTTTTTTTTTTTTTTTTTTTTTTTTTGGTTGCATATTTTACAAGATGGAAATAAATAACAATGGCTGCTTAACCAACTGTCTGTCATCTCATAAGAATTGGAAACTCTTGAGAGGCAGGATTTGATGAAAAATATTTATTCCTTGTGGCACAACCATGATTTTTAATTTATTCTTTGCTTTTAAATCTTTCTTTATCTACAAATAACCTCTATTCCCATCAAAATACCAAATATATGCATTTTGGCATATATTTACATGGGTATACGTTACTATTCCTTTATCCAAGCACACGTAATAATGAATGAGCTAGGGAAATAATGCTTTTTAATGGCATCTATTTTTCTTCTGTTTTCCTTGGATAATTCAGTGTATCCCATTTAAACAAAATCTACAAATAAATATTTTTATTCAGTAATCACACAGGGTTTGCTACTTAGTATTGCTGAAAAGTCTCTTGTCTGTCTATGTGACAAATACCATTGAACTATATCTTTCTATAGGTATTTTGAAAGACACAAAATTCCTGTCTGAACCTACAAATCTCCACTGAAATAGCTGATTGTTAAGCAGGATCTAGGTCCTCAGAAATTATTTCTGCATATATGTGATATTACCACTTGATTTTTAATACCTAGGTTAAGGTCTGTGCAAATTCAAACTTAAAAAATCTGGCTAAAAGTCTGTTACCTGGATCTCCAAACTTAATGACAAAATACAAAGTTACTTAACTTTGGAAATCCAAAGCCCACCCCAAATTATCAAATGCTACTAATACTTTATGTAGCAAGGACATATTCACATTTTTTTAGAAGTATGTCAGACTGTAGCATGCAATTTTTTATGTCTGAATTCTGTGATATATTGTCATACACATAAGAAATGTATTCCCTCTTGTCAGAGTGCTGTTGGTTACTGCTAACATGTAAAGCATACATTTTTGCTATGTTAGTAACCATGAAAGTTCTTAATGTTTTCTATCCATGAAGACTTCTAGCTTTAAAGTCTATAAAGTGAATTACTAAAAGGTATCTCCGTATAAAATAACAAGAAATTAATTTAAGGCAATTACCAATGAGACCATCAGAAACCTGAAACAGCTTGAATTCATAAACCTCTTTGTATTGTTCACTTCAGTGTTCTGTTGCTCGCTTAATAATTGCAAGAAAACCTGCATCCTGCTTAGAAGATCCCATTTTTAATTTCTTTAGGCTTTTCCAATGACATCTAGATATTGCCTAGTGCCAGACAAAAAGGATCTGCAACAATATGAACAATTGCACTAAATTAAGTTGCTAAATTTCTGTTCAATTAACATTAGATAGATATTTTGCTTAGATTATATATATATATGAAATTGCAATGCTCATTCCTGACTGTCTGAAAAAGTCTTGAGCGTCTTTCAGTTTATTCTGTAGCTGATGCTATCATAAATCAACGCATATGCTTATATGGAGGCATAGGGTTATCTTAAAGAATCACGAGTTCATCTGAATCTGTCCAAGAGCTTTGTCTACGTAAAATAACCAAAATTGCAGTCTGTTTCTGCGGTCATTGTAGGTAATAGGCCATTCAGTCTGCCAGATTTTCACTACCTGTTCTCTCCCAGCACTTTGGGGCAGCTCATCACAGTCTGGGAAGTTCAGTCATCAGTCACAGGGAGCAAAGTGCTTTAGCTAGATGTTGAGTCAGGTTCAATAGAAACTATTTATCAAACAAGCAGGCTTCAAAGTCACTACGCATACGTAGTGCTGGCACTTGGTTCTGTTTTGCTGTTGTGGTTCCACAAGCAACACTTTGCTGTGCTCACACGTAGTTGAAATCTTCACTTAACGCATTTATATTGCCTCAGAACCGATGACTGAATAGGCTCATAATCCAGAGTGCCTGTGGATAGCTTGGGCACTGCAGCATTTTGACATGCACTGTTTATTATTCAGCTACTCAGGCAATGTCATGAAAAATCATAATAAAACTAGGAAGACGCATCACATTTGACCTTTGCTGAATAATTTAATAAAGCCAACTTGATACACAAATATGAAAGAGCAGTTGCTGATAAGAGCAGAACTATTGCTTCCTTGTCTGAGAATTGGAAACAGTTCAGAAGCTTTATTAACTATTCGGTGTCTTCATCTTCAGCAAAGTTTGTCCCTTAGGCCATAACCAAATGTTAAGCTACTTGTTTCTTCCTGCACTCTCCTTCTTTCAGTGCTCACACAGGTATCTTCACTTGTGCCATACACAATTATGTTCTCAGTTTTTCTGTGAAATTATCCATGTTTTTTTCTCACAGACTGTTTCGTTTACACAAGTATTTTTGTCTCAATGTATATACATTTACTCATAATGATCTAAAGTGCATATACCTGTAAAAATTTAGCTTTTTAAGGATGATTGTCACAAGTACTTTGCACACTTAATCCATGATACTTTATAATTCAGCAGTTTGGAGATGGACAAAATTGGGGGCCCACCCTTGTGTGAGCATCCCTGTGGTCAGTACTGGAATAATTTACAAAGTGTACAAATCTCCAGAGGTTTTTGAAATGCTGTTTTGGCCTGGCAAAGGGTGCACTGGGGCTGGAGGGCAGTGGGGCTGGCAGGGATCAGCCAGTTCCTGTACAATACGAGGCACAGAGCTTCACTGGGGTCTTGCCCCTCTGTTAGGCTGATTACCCAGCATCTGAATCCTTTCTCCATCACCTCCTTCGGCATTCTCCACATGGTGAGAGACACTCCCTTGCCCTTAGTGTCATGGCTGCTCCCCCTCCTGTCCCTTTCCCGTCTTGCTTTCCAGTGACCTCAAGTACTTCTGCTCTGAAGGTGCCCACCAGTGAGACATTTTTTCCCAGTGCCTGCATCAACCTAAAGAGTTTATCTCTTTCTTGCTCTTTCCAAACGCTGTGACCGCCCTGCTGCCGCAGCGAGGGCCGCAGGCCCCGAGGCTGCGGAGAGCAGGGGTAGGCTGCGCTGCCATGGCTTCCCGCTGCCAGGCCTCGGGCAGAGCAGTGCTGGCGGGCGCCTGCACGAACTGCAGCCGTTCCAAAGCGACACCTCACAGTTTCACCTGGCAGTGAAACCTGCAGGAAGTTTTTAAACAGTTGGGGTTGCCTGGTTTGAAAAGGGGACAATGGATATGTGTTAAAAAGCAAGATGGAGTTTAGCTTTTCTTTCAGAGCTCAGAGGGGTTTCTAAGCACGGTGTAGTGGAGCCATGGCAGGCCTGGGGCAAGGATGGTGGTGGGTCACTGAGGGCACCTGTG